TCATTGTGTGTGTCATTAGTTACTGTAAAGAATTTTTTCCTAGCATCTCAAAAATTGTAAGGATAATCTTTTAAAAAGCAATGCATAAAGAAAATGACAAGGTGATAAGCAGCTAGAGCAATTTTTTAACACTGACAACTAAGTTGATGATTAATAAGATTGAAAATAATACTAAAAAAAAATCACTAAGATGAAACAAAATTGTTGCAAGCAATTTCCCATAGTGTTTTCTTTTGGTACTTTATGTGCAGTCTGTAGTACACATACAACTCTATATTTTTCTAGCATTTCTATTTAAAAATTGTGTATTTCCCAGACATGCAGCACATAACAGAGCAAGACCCTTAAGAACACAAAACATCAAGAGAAACAACCAAGACAGCAAGCCAGGACCTGTTCACACCTACAGCCAAAGCTGCTTTATTTCCAAAAACCAATAATATTCAATGATGAATTTTCTATTACTGAATTTCAATATTTATGCCTTCAAAACCATCCCTTAAATGGGACTTGAGCAAAATTTATAAAAAAATTAATCAAAGTGATTTGGAATATCTGCTTTTGAGCTCTTCAACACCTCAGACTGAAAGGCTTCCCAGGTGTCCCAGGAACAGACAAGGCTGAGCTGTGATTCTCTCATCTAATCTTTACCAGAATACAGAATGTGCCTGATTCTGTTCAGGACAGGGTTTGATTACTTAAATATTTCTGGGACAGGCTGACAGCACTGAATTAGCACTCCAAGTACTACCCATGGATTTGCTTGGCCTGGAAACCCAAACGTGTCTCTTCCCAGAGCACCCTATTCCCTCATGCTCAGAATTCACCTCTGCCTTCCCTCTTATTTTCTTGCACATTGAGATAACTCTAAAAAAGGATGCTGCAACTTTACCTGGTAACTTGGGTGGTGCTCTCTCTTCATGCTTTCTTTGCTAGACAGGGGGTTTAGATTACAAATCTTAAACATGTGCACAGGGTCTGGACTTACTAATTTGTGCAGTACCATTTACTTCCAACAAGGAATGCAAATCTTTTTGTACAACTTAAAATATTTAATAATTAAGGTAAGAAATTAATTTCGTTTTCTATTATGGCTACCTAATTGACACCACAGATCACCTGAAACCACTTTAATTATTATAACAGATAACTAATACATTACAGTCACAGAACTTCCCTTATCATAAAAGACCCCTGCAATTTATTACTGATTTTTGCACAGAATGCAGCAATGAATCAAATATAAAATAATTCAAACGATATATTTATACAATGAAACATCAGAAAGAACTGAAGGAGCACATATATCTTTTCTGCAAGTCACATCTTAGGACAAATGAATATAAAGCCCATTTTTACACCAAGAATGCAAACTCTAACTCTCATTCTCTGCACTGAAAAGAGACTTCAAGTGACAGAATTTAAATGAGTAATTGATATAAGGTATGGTTATTTCAAGAACAAAACAGTAATCATTTCTTAAAAATATTGCAAAACAATTGCCCATCAGCAACCAAAATACCACACTTCTAACACAAATAAACCAGTCTCAGCTACAGGGGAAACCTGCCTAAGATGGAAAGCTTTTTAACTCCAGAGTAATTAAAATGCTACATATTCAAAAATAAGTAGTATATAAATTAGTAACATTAAAAACCCAAAATACAGTAAATATCCATAGCCATATAGCTATACACAGCTCATTTTCCCATATAATAAGAATATTTTATCTTTATTCAATACCTCCCTGCTTTCTAGATCTCAGACTCCGAGACACTACAGAATACTAGGACTGGAGGAAAATGTGTGGAATCAGCTAGTTCCCTACCCATTTCCAAAGCTTGAGACGTCTGAAAATGTAAAAAGGATAGTGTAAGTGACAATGCAGATTTCATAGCATATTTAGGTAATCTTTCACAGTTTAACCAGTAGAAATTTTTCCTTGTATTCCACCTTAATCTTTCTTGTTACAACCTAATCCCATTACTTCTTCCTCAAACAAAATGGGGGCGTGGGGGAAGGCACTTCATCATCTCCTTCTCTTTTCAGCTTCCCTTCATGCATTTGAAGCCTGTTATTATGCCTCCATCTTTTCTTTGTCCTTCTGCAAGGTTTGTCACATTTTTCTAAGCCTGCATCATATCAGGATGCAAAGCAAGTCGTTAGATGTGTTTTAAAGCTATTGAAATGTCAGCAATTATAGTGAGTGAAAATCCAGAAAAGTCAAATTTTTTTACCCATTCTTTAATCACAACTATTCAAAACCTTTTGAAATCTGAATTACATCTTTTTTCTATAACAACTGTTACTCATTCCATAGTAATTTGATAGCATAACACTGTGCAATACCACTATAAATGTATCAGTTATCTGATAACAGTTGTAAACCATCATTAGTACCAGAGTGAAAAAAAATAATTCTATTTTAATAGAATTTACCATTCCTGGACAAAGGTCAGAACAGAATTGATCATTCAGAGGTGGACAGTCACTTCTTTTAGAGCTTTCTGAATTATGTCCTTGGAGTATAAACAGAAAGGATTTAGGAAACTATTGGCTACAAAACTGTAAAAGTTTTCCTAGGACTGCAAGGCTTGCTATGCATGTCCTCCTCCTTCCTTTCAAGATCAGGGATCTAAGGAACAAGGGCTAATGCAACTTAAATAAAAAAGGAAGGTTTTCATGCAAATCATTTTAGTCTGTAGCACCAACAGTCAAACGAAGAGCTCAGATTTTACCTGTAAGTGCATCTATCATGACAGCAGAAAACACAATATGGGTACTGAATCCATAAGTACTTTCATCAGGACACTGGGAAAAAGTTATTTTATGTCATGAGTGTGCTAGGTCATTTCCCAGTTTTTGTCCCAGAGCACACGACTTCACCTCTCCACTGCAGAGATGAAGTGTAACCTCTGTCCCCAGCTTTGACTGCTCTCCAATTCAAAACAAGCTATGCCCTTGTAACTATAGCAACTTGATCCATGAGGAATATTACAGTATTACAGATGTACTTTCAGAGTTATAGTCATCATCTTGTCATGCCTTTAAAAAGTTTTCAACCTGCATCCTCAAAGTTATTACTCAGGTGCTCCAAGGGAAAAAAGCACCATGTGCTCAGGAAAGTTGGTGGTGTCCAGCCAGAAACTCAGCTGGCAGCAGCAAAGTGACACAAGATGCAACTATAAAGACTGGATTGGGTATTTTTTTAGTTCCTTGTGATTCTTTTGTCCTTTGATTGGCTTTTTCATGTAAATTTCTATTTTCTCTTTATTTCAGTCACACTTAAACTCAGCTTCTAACTGGGCTGCCCTTTCTTCTACTCGTATTTTTCTCTGTATGTTTCTATTTTAATTATAGTTTTAATTTCCAGCCACCTTTAATTTTTTTCTGCATTACCAATACCATTAGCAGAATGAAGGAGAAAAGAAACAGAACCATTATTTCCTTTCTTTATGTTTGCACTGTGTCTGATCCCAGCCATGGTCCCAAAATCCTCTTAAATCCCAGTAACATTGATTTGACTTATCTATGGATCACTGGTATTTTTTCCTGCAGAAATCCCTGGCCCACAATTTGGGCAACTCTAACACAGTACTCATGATACTGTATAAAATCTAAGAGTTCACAATGACTACATCCTTCAAAATATCCTAAGGATATAAACATACTTATTATGGGCTCTATACTAAAAATACAACATATCATAGCAGATAAAGAATTGAAATAATTATAATTTTTATTTTTTAAAGCATTTTCTAGACAAAATAGCTCCTGTTAAAATCATGTCTACTAATAAAAATACGCATTCTTACAGACAAGGTTTGAAAAAACAAGTTGTAAAATTTAAGATTTTACTGGTCTTATAAATTGATTTCAGCCATTATTGCACTATGCATATTTCACTAAAGGTGATGGAATACTTATTTGGTTGATAGCTAATGTATCCCTGAAGAATAAAAGCTGTATGAATATATCATTTTGCCATAAAGGTGATACAGACAGCAAAAGAACATTTTGTCAACTTCAGGAGAAAAACTGAACTATTAAGAATTATTTAAAGCATCATAAAGCCTCAGCAAAATGTTCAATTGTCAATAAGGGTAGACATTAATCTTTCTATCCCCTTGAACAAAATTTTTACATATCGTGCTTGAGTTTACCAGATGTGAATCTTTATGCATTGCCTACTGCACATTAGAGTGCTGAGGAACCAGGAAACCTTTAAATGAAGAAATATTCCTTGAGAAGCAAAAACTCTCCAGCACCCTCCTAGATTCAAAGGCAACCTTATTGAGTTTTCATATTGAATATGTTCCTCCTTCCACCACTTAGTTTTAAGGGAAGGAGTTCCTGTTGACTTTGAAACCACCCAGGCAAATGAAAAAGCCCTAGTGCAATATACAAAAACCATCTGGAGTACTGGATTTCATCCCCTCCCTCACTTCAAGGAGAACTCCCCAGTGAAACAGTTTAAAAACTAAATTTTAAATAGGTATGGGTGCTTTGCCATCCTCATCATAGCAGGCCTTTTTGTTTCAACAATACATGAGTAAGACAAAAGTACTGTACAAAAGTAACCTTTTGGTCTGTTAAATGCATAATTTCTCCTCTAGAATCACATATTTATACAAATCAATGTTACCAGATATTATGGCAGATACTGAACTTTATTTGTAAGTACCTACTCACTGTCTCTAACACGATGGTTTACATGGAATTTAATGACATCTTTCTGAAATAATTTGAGGTGTTGCTCCAACAAAGGAGTGTCTTCCTCCTGAGAGAGCAACAATTGCAAAATGATGACTGAGTTTCACTTTAAATATATTAATCTGATTTTGACTCATTAGTTTAGCTGATCAGCTCATCTGTACTATAAAATAAACTTTTAACCTTTAAAGAAAACTTAATTTCACGTTACATTAAAAACATTAAATTCACATTAGATAAAATGTCATTTTGGTATTTATCTTTTTCTTTCCAGTAGAAGAACTTACCTGTACACTGTCCTCCATTTGTGGGATCCCCATAATATCCTGGCATGCAGGTCTCACACTGTTTTCCTGTTGTTAAGTTTTTACACTGATCACAGACATTGCTGTTGATGCAGGTGCTGTGGCCATTACACTGGCAAGCTGGAATACAACATTTTAAAAGCTTCATTACTTAATTGCTCTTTGGAACAAAATCGTCTCTATGTGATTATGAAATTTTAGTAAAATGTGGTTCTGAGGAATTTAGTCCTGACAAATAACCAGAATAAATATATTTGCACTTTGACACAGAACCTCTTCAAAAGAGCATTGCAATACAACATGAATTCACACAAAAACTGACTGTGTTGTGACATAGGAGTTTTAAGGGAGGGGGGGGTTATGAGAAAGGGGTTTTTTTGCTATTGGAGTGACTGAATTAGTCCTATCAGCTTCAAAATGCTGTCCAAGCATTTCAGAAGTCTTTGAAGAAGTAGTAAATCACTGACTTAGACTTCATGAAAACCCCAATACCTACATGCAAATTTGAAGCATGTGAAAGCCTACTTTGATGGAGAACATGAACTCACAGCTAAACACATCTAGTGGGGAGAGAGAACTTCCAATATAAATTAACTAAATATTATCTTGACCCTCATTTGCTTGGGATATAAAGCAATTTTAAGGACATTAGGACCACATCAAACAGCTCCAGTCCTTCCTCCTCGATTTTGGTGAAAGTAAAAAAAACTGGATTCCTATTGACATAATTTTTTCACACCTGACCTTGAAAGCATAAAATTGCTTTTTGTCAAATAACACTACTATAAGCCACTGATCTTGCAGCAGAGCTCTACTCCAGAGCTTCACATTTTGGGGAAACTCAAAAAGCACTGATCACTCCTGCAGCAAAATCACAATGTGAATCCTGCCAGAATCATTGATTCTGCTGCCAGGTTTTGAAGGATGACCTCTCTGTAGAGTGGAGTTTCAGAGCTCATGGTGCCCAGTAGATTAGTAACCTGTCAATTATAGCAGCTTGTCAAATGTCAAACCATGTCAGACCTGTCAATTCCTCAGTGCCAAAGTGGGTGGAAGACCTGGAAGAAGACAGCTATCACAATAAGATTGCAATTTTTTTTTAATTTTGGGTTTTTAATTTAAATGTCACAGTGATTGGTGTCTTTCCTAGAGGAAAAAGGGGGATTCTCACTGCATGATTTAAAAGTTTTTAGAGCTGTTTTATAATTCAGGAACAATATATTTATAGCCATTGCCAGACTTGGCTCACAAACCATTAAAACCTCCCAAGTTGACAATCTCTTCTTTCTTCTGTAACTATGCCTATAGAATCTTCCAAACAAGTATTGAACATTTCTGTACCATCAGGTTCTCTCACTATCTTGGCTAAATCTATAGAAATCACAAGTCTTATTCTTCCCAAGAATACCTGATTGTTAGATAGCTTTGTGGTGTCTCCCTCTTTTGCAGTTTGTTTCCATTCTCAGGAAAATCTACACAAAAGTACCATGAGTGGCAGCTCCATTTTGGGGTTTGTGTACATGTTTTACACATTAAATTACTTAAAGCAAATGTAAAAAAAAGATACAGCTCAATAGGTCAAAAGTAAAAACAGAGAGTACATTAAAGAGATGTTCTATTAAAGGTTGCCTAATTAAGGCTATATCATAGTGTAGGACAAATGCTTAATATTAATATTCTCCAACTAATGAGCCATTGATTTATAATTTTTTATTCTTGTTAATGCTTAGTTTTGTATTTCTTAATTTTTGCGTTATATAGGGTGATGAAAGCAACCTTAATTGTAAATTTTTGTTTTCTGCAACTCATAATATTATCTAGTCATACATGACAGCTCTGAATTCAATATTTCGTTGAGTCAAAGTAAATGGAAGAGATTTTAAAAGAAATTCAGAAAAATATATACACAATAAGAAGTAATGCAATCCAAAACTGACATGGCACCATAGAAAATTACATTATATAATTGCTGATTTCCCTAAAGACATGCATCTCATTGAAAAAAGTCAGAAGTGCAAGTTCAATAAATTTCAAAGCTGGTTCAGTGTAATCAAACTGGAGACATCAGTATTAAATAATTAAAATAGTCATTAAAATAATGAGACACAGTAATGACCAGTAAGTAAGAATTAGGATTTAAATTTGTAAAAGTTTTTTCTTAAGTCCTTTTAATGTACACCATTGGCAGCAACAAAGTCATTTACCTCATACACAAAAATGTACTTCAGCTGAATCCTCAGTGAGGCTGCCCTGGAGAGAAGCAATTTTATGTCTAATTTGCTTTTGACCTCTGTGTTGAAATAGTTGATGAAGCTGACAATTGTCGGTAATTACAGTTTTAAGAAAATAGTTAAAACTAGGAAAATTTATGAAAAGGGTGTCTCCATTACAATGTAGATCTAGTGTAAAGATACTTCATCTAGTTTTAAACAAACTAGTTAGAATCTATTCACACTGCTTTTCAGAGGAGAAATTTATACTTTAAAGAAAAACTTGGGTTTGCATTCTACCTAAACCTTTCTTCTCATGAGATGAATATTAAAGCTATTTTTCTTTTCTTTATATATATATATATATATATGCTTATATATTTATATATATGCTATTTACAATTTCATTTATAACAATAGTTCAGTTAAACTAAGAATCTGAGGAAAATAAAACTATCAAAAGAAATACTTTGACAGCTTATTTGAAATTTATTGATTTCAAAGTGACCAGTCACAAAAATAAACATTTTCTTTACTGCCTCATGAATACTAATTTTAAAGTTTTGAACAAACAGAAAATGTGAAGCAGGTTAAAAATTTTATCAGCAGCACAGTTGCCCAGAGGCATTATAAGGAGGATGGATATGGACTACAAGGAAAAATAAGTGCATGTCTGAATGAACATGAATGGTTCAGCCAACAATTCATCAGTGTGGCAGAATAATCTCCAAATTGCATGGTATAAACTATCTATTTATATTTGCATCCTAACTGCAAACTCTTCAGGAGGCTTACATAGACGTAGTCTAATTCTACCTCGTTTCAAGTACATCAAATGATGGTTGTGCTAAGAATAAACTGTGTTAGTCTAATCCATTACAGAAAATATTCTATGAAAATGAAAACAAAATCTTAAGAATAAAACCTCCAGCCTAAAAATAATCAAAAAGAAATTTCACATAAATTGAAATTTTAATTCTATGACTTCTGTAGTATTTGTCCCTTAAACTCATAAAGCTAGTGAATGTTAGATTGAAGTGGAACTTCAGTAAAATCTTGGTAAGAACCTACAATGAATACAGAATTTTATCCATCAAGAATAAATAATAAACACATCAGGTTTAGATAAGAAATATATTTATCTATTACACTTTCACTAGTGGCAGAAATTATGCATTGCACTGAAGGTTTAACAATCCACTTACCAATACATAGACTAAGTAATGAAATTTCTATACATCAACAACAGAACATCATTCTACTGTTTCCAGAAATGTACTAGAAGCTTCTTTGTGCAGGAAGTAGTATTAGATGATGGGGAAGGTTTCTTTGGTTTTAACTGAAAATATGCAGCAGTGTTCATTTCATACTTCATTTAAAAAAGTTTTAGAAGAATGAAAACTCTCACTCTACATATATGCATACACAACACAGAGAATAAACTGAGGAAAAAAAGCAGACAAGAAAGCAAACACAGCTGCATGTACCCATAAAAGTATTGGTCCTACAGAAGCTCTAGCTTGCAAAATTATCAGCAGTAGAACATTTCCTGGAAAAACAGCTTTAGCACAGTTACACTATTTATTCTAAAAAAAATAACAAAAAAAACCCCAAAAAACCAAAAACAAACAAACAAAAAAACCCTCAAACAGAACAGCAACAAAATTTTTCAAGCCATCTTTTAAACTGTATTATTTATTGCGAATTACTTCTGGAGGGCTGTCAAAGTCCCCCCTGTGCTTTTCATTTGCCTGCAGTCCTCCACTGCTGCTTCCAAATTCTGCTGTCAGGGTTGGAGGATTTCCACACAGGAGGCTGCACCAGCACAGCTTTCATTACCTCACAGGACCTGGTATCTTCCTTACTTTTCCAACGAACTCAAAAATTAAAATACCATAATCAGAATGGTGTGGCTTAAATTGAGACCTCAGAGATTCACTTTAAGGCTTCACAAGCACATTTTCTATTCACTCTGAATGTCCAAAAGGTCAGCTGGAAGCACAGCTCAGGTTTTGGCCACCTCCTGTTCTGACAGTCAGGTGGATTTGGCAAGAGCAGGAGGGAATTCTGTGCCCATCAGTCTTTTCCTACGGATAATTTCTCCCCAGTTCCACTCCTTGATTGATACAGAAGCCAGAAGAAAGCACGAGCTGAAGAAAATTAATATACTTTGATTTCTAAATGTGGAGGGATAGGATGGGTTAAAACTTACCTACAAATTAATGGCAATTTTGGCTAAACTACTTGCACTGCATTTCACATGTCAATTTCTACTTGTGATTAGCAGAAAAACATGCTCTACATTTAGGAAATATTTTGTAAAAACAAGTCTTTCATGTAAATGCTATTTTGCACTACTTAGAACAATTACATTATTTTGGTGTGCTTAAACTCTTATTTCATATATAAGAAAGAATGGAAGCAAACCTTACCTGGACACTGGATAAAAGACCACTCATAGTTTTTTTCTTTTGGACAAAGAGTAGCATCAAGCACCATTTCACTGGAGTGGACACTGACAGGTTTCATTGGGCCTCTTGAGGAGCCTTCCAAGCACTGTCCTTTGCCCGTGTTACTGGGGTCGTTGCACCATCCACACCCTGGCTGTTCCAAACACTGTCCACAGGTCCTCAGCCCAGAGCAGTTTTGAGCTTTAGTACATGGAATACGATGTTAATGCATGTTTTTTAAATAAGAGCCTTGGGCTTTGCAACAGAAGATGGAGCATTTATTTTTCCTTGCGCAATTTTTTTTAAAAAAATCAGTAATACTAGTAAGAAAATCTCAGTTTTCATTAAAAGTTCTACTTAAAGATCACAAAAGATGCAGAAGGTGTTTGTTACACCACAATGCAACAATAAAAACTTCAACAAAGATAACGACGCAGAACAAGAATATTGCACATCTTCCTTAGACACACAAGAAAATACATAGTCTTTACTTATTAGTAGTATATAATGCATTGATTACTAATTTTACTGATATAAACAGTCCTTCCAAAAGGAAAACTCTAGAGTTCAACACAAGGTGAATAACCAAGTAAGATTGATAATATTTATAAATATAAAAAAACCACAGGAACATTCAAAGTCAAACCAAAAATTATTTTGGGCACAAAGTACCCCTGGATGTCACCTGAGTATATGCCTACAAATATGACTTAATCTTCTTACATACAGCTTTTGAAACAAGCTAGCAAACCACACATCTCATTAAATTAGCTGTATCTTAAGGATCTCATCAATTAATCAGGTTTCATTTTTTAAATTGCATTCTAAAATCCAAATCTCCCTTTAGGTCTTTTATAGTCTCTTCTTTAAAATAATTAAGCAGTCTTCCTCATATTTCAAATCTGTTTATCACCAAATAAAATTCCTATTCTGAAGTTGCTGTCATTTTTTATTAATAAGAAATTAACATTTTAGTAATTTCAAGAACGCCATTAAAGTTCCCAAGCTTCTTTAAGCTTCTTCTGATACATCTTAGTTTTTTTTAATTACTGTTATAACAGTGGATCAAATTAACACCAGACTCATTCAAACATTGATCACTACGGGTCCGTGTCTCTCCTCACATTAACTTTATAGGCTTTCAAAATTAAATTTTAAAAGCACACATGAAGGTGAAGCCAGAATTATCTAGGTTTCATTTTAAAAAGAAGAATCTAATTTAAAGACTCCCAGAGATGTTTTGAAGGACATTCAAATGATTTCCACATGAGGGTAACCTCTCCATTTGGTTCAGCTGCAGCCAAATAATGCTCACAGTTACCTGGGCTCCTCTGGTCCACAAAAGGAAAACTACTGAATGATTTCATTGTTAAGTAAATTAACTGAGAGCAGAATAAAGCTAGCTCCTCTGACTTCAGCAACTATTAAAATTGCTTAAAAGTAATGAAAGCTGTAAAAAGCAAAAAAATACTGCACAGTCTAAAGATACCTGCAGATATCAGGAAAACAGGCAGTGAAGAGTGTGAGTGAATCTCAAAAGGATTTTAACAGCACAGAAAGCTGAAGCAAGAGCTCTTCAATAGACTGAAGAATCCAGACAGGAGGAAATGTTTCAAGTTTCCCAAATATGGAAAATAGCAAGGATGGGAAAAGGCAACTGTTGTTGCAAATTGTCAAACATGAAAAATCAGTTTTAAACCATCTGAGCTGAAGCTGAATGATACAAATTTGGGCTTTTGAATACATTAGAGGATGAGCAGAAAAATAAAGACCATCATTCTGCACTGGCTGGCTTGCCCTTTCAGAGATGCACTCTAAACAATCCAAACAATTCTCATGCTGCTATTTATACTCATGCTGCTATTTATAAAGCCCTGAAGCATCAGCTGCATTATCTTTACAGAGGCTAAAACAGAACCAAAAGTGAAAATCCACAGCTATTATCTGTAGTGGCATTCAGCTGAAAAACTGAAGAGAGCTGAGAAGCAATTGTTGATGGAAGAAGGGGATATTCAAGCAGCAATTTTGTTTTCTTTGACATTCTAGAGGTGGTCCAAGATTGTTCAACTGTCAGCTATTCAATCAAAAGTCATAACGGATGGAAGATGTACGGAAGAGTGGAAATGCAATTTTTTGGCAAGTAGGTATTAAAATGACAATATGTCACCAATAAAACAGCATTCCTCATTTTTAATTCCAAGTTGTGAAAATAAATGTGAAGTTCTCCGGGTTTTGGGTTTTGGATTTTTTGCTTGTCTGAATTTTCTTTTCATTCAGAGCAAAACATCCAAAAGCTCAGAAGTTAGTGATTAAAAATAAAAACAAAGTTTTAAAAACAAGGAGGGTTTTTTAAAGGTATAGTTCCAGTGTGTAGTACAAGTAGAAACACTATCCCTTGATAAGGGAATCCACTTAATAATTTATTACTTCAGCAGCAATAATGATATATCTACCTAATAAATTTTCAAGTAATTTAGACTAAAATAATATCTGAACCATGCTTCATTTGGACATTCATTTTCTTGTTTAAATTCAAAATATCTGATGTGATAAAACTCTTTAAAAACTGCTTACAGCCAGAGTCTTGTGTTTTTTTCTAATTTGTTGAATAGAAAGTACATTTTCATACAAAATTGTCTTTTCATAATGTTGAAGTGCTATATAGCAAATCCCTTTTGCCTTATTTAATATAAACTTTTACAGACCTGGCGAAAATGACAACCAAATTAAAAACAATTTCTTGTGTTCCCCAAACAAATTGAATCAGCATGATGTGCAAACACCACATAGAGAAAAACTGAAAGTTCAGGCTGACATAATATCTGCTAGTTCAAAAACATAAGCATCATTTATGTAGTATTCTGTCAATTTTATCTCCAGATTTTCAATCTATTTATGTTCTGCCACAACTCGCTACCAGTATTTTATAAGTTACAAAATTGATTCCTATACAGGAAAGGAAAAAAAAAAAAGTTCACTGAATGGTAATGAGAGAAACCTTTACCTAACTACAGAACTATTCTTTCAAACACATTGTCAAGAGATTAAATGTTCCTATTACCTATTACACTGAATCTGGGCACTAGAACCTGGATTAATACCTGAAATTTACTAACTTTGCCAAAAAGTTTTCTAGAACAGCTCCACGTGGTCCTGGTTCACTATATTCTATGGATTAAGGATGAAGAAGGATGCTCAATTAGAGGAATATGGGCTCTTGGCCAGTTTAGCCTGAAGGAAAAGCTTTCCTATGCCTTATTTCCCTTAAACCCAGATATGTAGTGGCCTTGTACATAGAGCTCTTTTTCTCTCCTAAGGTTGGAATATATCACTGGTTCCTTTTACAGACACATCAAGAATTTGTTTTACTTATTATTGTCCTGATGCTTAGGTGAAAGCAAGTAACTGCCTTTTGTGTTCTTTAAGGCTTTTTTAAATTTTTATCCATAACCTATCAAATGGAATCATAATCTAATTATGATCCTGAAAGCCAGTAGCTTGTTGTTGTCAAGATCATTAAGCCTATCACAAGATATCCACAAATAAAAGATTTCAGAGGCTTTGATATTAAAAGACCCTTATGGGGAGAGAAAGGATATCAGAAGTAACCAGAAAAACTCTCTCAGAGTAGAGCAATAGAGTCCAAAGGTACACTTCAGAACTGAAAAATTCTAAGAACCAGTCTTCTGAATGATAGTGACTGAGGAATTGTTCTAAATAAACCCCAACCAAGACAAGAATCTAAGGCATGATGCAGCTCACTCCAGCATCTGCATCAGTTATGGCACCAACAAACCCTGGAAGTGCTGGAACTGCATGGGGCTGACTCCTGTTGCTGCCAGCTCAGGAGGGAGAAGCTGTGCCCCATACTCTGAAAGGTACCTGGAAGAGATTGCTCATTCTCCTGAAGAGACATTGCCCCAAGCTCTGATGACATGTGTTTCCAAAGGGGACATCCAGGGAGTAACTTTGCTCCCTGTAAATTAAGAAATCACTTGTCTCTTGTCCCCAAAGGATGAAATGGGCAACCTGGAACATTAATGCAGCCTGACCCAGTCTGATCACAGAACAGAAGTTTTCTGTAACTCCTATACCTGCCTAATGGCCTAATAGAATTCCTTCTACTTCCATAGAGAGGATGAACAACCTGCAAGAGTTAATTATTAGGGATCAAGGGTTAATAATCCCCATCTTCAAGGGAGAAGAATATAAGGAAGACCAAGATCTTTTGTTTTGCATTTGTGTTACAATATTCAAGACTACTACTATTATTATTAAAACTTTATCTTTGCATGTTAGGAAAATGTCATAGCCTGAATCTGAAAAAAAAAACCTAAATCAGAACATTTAAACCTTTAAAAATTCAAAGCACTTCCTCTTCTTAATAACTTGGAATTTTGGAAGTCTAAGTTCTACATATCAGTTATTTAATTTTAACAGTATCTTCTTCCAGCTCATGGTGACTGTTTGTCACACTAACACTGGTCATACAAGAAATCACAGTAATTTTTCTTTATCTGAAAGGAATAAATACTTTTCACAGTTTCAAAAGACTAAATATATTTCATCATACAAGAACTGCCAGCATTTTATCTGTATCTAAGAAATCCATACTCAGCACTAACTTCTCACATTAGGAGCTATATAAGGTCTTTCACTTGTAAATCTTTTTATCTCCAGTGAATGTGCTGAATCCCTCCAGCTCTTTTGAGTGAAAAATAAATCTAACAATATAATTAGTAAGATGAACATTCACTAAGACACTCACGGGAGCAGGTGGCAGTTTGCCACTCCAGACACTGTCCATACGGGAAGGAGATGATGTAGGCATTGGAGTCCACGCAGCGTTTGGTGCTGCTGCACCACATGCATTCCATGCCATTGCTCGTGCAGTTGGAACAGGTTGTCCTCAGGGAGCAGGGCTTTTTGCAGGGCCTGGCATTCTGGTTGGGACTGACTGGAAAAGGATCATAAATATTTTATCATTTTGAACACAAGTTCAATCTTCTTTTTCTTTCACCATTTGTTTCATTAGAAAAATCCCTGTTAAAGTGGTTGCTTCCTTAATTAGCTAAAAATAATTTGATCCAAATTTAGGTTTCTGTATATAAATATAATCATATTTTACAAAGTTTCATATGCAAAACTGAGCATGACTCACATGGCAGCTCACAGAGTCCATTTTAATGTATGTTAACTTGAACAGTAAAGTGGCTGTTTGTCACAGTAAACTTTATACACAAACAAACTTAAAAGACAGAAACTAGAATTTTGGATTTGTCAGTCTTTTACAACTTTAAGATATTCACTAATGTGCAGCAAGATTCAGAAAGAACACATCAGCATTGCTGAATATATCCACATGTGGTTACAGCTACTGTTACCATTGACTATTTCTGATTCAGAGGCAAATTGTAGGATTTCTGGTGTAATGCAAAATAAGCTGTGTGAACTAATTCTCAAATAATAATGTGCTCCTTTAAGAATATTAATAGATTGCAGCTATTTCTGAAAAACTTTAAAAATACACATTTTTGTAACTATTTAATCCAAATTGTGCCCAAAACCCTGTTAGGCAAATGAAACCCCAAAGAGCTTGTTATTCACCACGGCATCAGCTCCTGGTGTAAGAGGCTCCTTACCAACAGGTTTTTCACACACGAGGCCATCAGCCATGGCAGTGCAGGGATTTGCCTTCAGCCCTGCCACCTCTGCTCTCTCCAGGTAGGCACAGAAGCCAGAGTCGTTGGGCTCTCCAGGCAGCCACTGCAGGGTGGTGTTTGTGAAAGGGGACATGTCATCCCAGCCCCAGTAGGAGATGTTGATCTTGCGCAAACCCACCCAGGGTGAAATTTTCTATGGATGAAAACGAAATAAATGGGAAGACATTTTGTCTTGATAAAACATTTTTTAAAATAGCTTAACAGCAACAACTTCACATTTTCAGAATTCACCACGTTATCTCACTTTATCATCTCATCAGTCATTGTCTACACAGTTTGTATCTTAATTGTTCTATCTTGCTGAACATCCCCAAAAAAAACCCAACAAAAATTCCACTCCTTATATGCTTTTCTTCTACTAAAAACTTGCATTCGGTTCAAAGACAATTCTGATTTCTATTATTTGATACAGGTCAAAATGAAATTGTTGGTTTTTTTCCCAGTGGCTACCGTACAATTCATAATTGCTAGGCCATTGTGGATAATGAAATACACATAAGTTAACAGCAATTCAGAGAAATCAAAGTTCAGGAAAAAGTAGGATAAATATTCCATCCTCTAAAATCCATAGTGCTGATACTGATCAACTTTAGGCAATTTAGAGACACAGATAAAAGTGACATGTTTACAATTTCTAATGCTGTTAAATACACATTAAATATACTTTCATTATTGATTTATAAGTTATAAATCATAGTCTAGAATAAACTACGAGCATTAATTTTTAAAACATATTTAGGATGTATGAGTAAAACTGCATCACAAATTCTACCAATTCTTACCATTTCATCTTTACACACTTATCAACTGAAAAAGCAGATTTTAAGGAAGAAAGGTGTTTGCCTGTTCCAGGATAAATCTACATGCATTCCTTGCCACCACTGGTGTAAAAATCTCAAGACACTCAAACCAAACACGTTTCCTCGTGTAATCTCTGTGCAGGCAGTTTCCATTAAGCCCAGTTTAAACACACAGACGAGAGATGCAGAGAGACAGCAGGGCTGTGACAGGTACATGATGGCAGGTGGATGCCAGAATACCAAACCCAGCTGCCTGCCCAGGCAGAGGATACACATTGTCAGCTCCAAAGCAGAGATATTGATCTGATTGTGAAGTAGGTTCACAACTGATTAAATTTACAAGGTAAGTAAAGGTAATTTACAAGGTAAGTAAAACACTATAATACACCTAATGGGAACCTGCCATGGTTAAAGATCTATGTATTCCACAAGCAAACCAAGAGTTACTGCCATTCTCTATCACTGATCTTTCACCTTTGAACTCACATTTTCTCTGGCCACTCAGGTTTAATCCATTGCTGAAAAGAAAATCTTTCAGTACTCTTAATTCTACTCATGATCAAAGCATTCCTTCTTTTTTTCTCCTGCCTTGTTAGAGCAAATTGAAATATGAAGGATCATTTAGTTTTGTTTAAAATACACCAATTTTTGAATTGAAAATATTAGTTTTGCCTCAAAAATTTACCAAAGGTAAATACCTTTTAAAAGACTGAGTAGGTAGATAATCATTATTCCTGACTTCCCTAAAATGTACTCCCTACGCTCTCTTCTTCTGTACTGTCAGTTAAGATCATGACCAATTGAAAATTGCTTTACCTACTAGCACTTAGGGAAACAAGAACAATCCTAAATAAAACAGAAAATTACTAAGAAATGTTCCATTCTGTAAGCAGTGTTCTGGGAGACTCTTGAACAGCAACAAGAACATTCACCAAAATTACCACTGTCTACTTTATATCTTACTTCTGTATTTACTTCCTGACTCCAATGCTACCCCAGGTGATTGACTTTCCAGGTGTCTGTGAGGACTCACATGTTCTGGGTACCAGAAAGAACATGATGCAAGCAGTAAAAGTGGAACTTGAGCATCTGGAAAACGGTAGATAATCCATCTGTTGTCGTATCTGTTGTTTAGCTGCCTAGATTCCTGTTTTTGTATGTGGCCCACATGGAAGAGAAAACCTGAAATACCTACACCTACCTCTACACAGCTCCCTGTAGATGCTGAGTGTGCACACCAAGCACATATAAAACAATATCGGGGCACAGGCAGGATAAATTGCTGACACACACACACACACAAACCAACCCTACACGCCTACTTTGTGATTGAGAGATTCCAGCCAAGAGAATCTTTAACATATTACTGACTGTTTCAATTGCACTGCCAAATAATTTGGGCTCAGCATGAGTATATAACAAACAGGCATCTTATTCCAGCTATGGTGAAAAAGTATGTGAGCCAATAATGAAAACTGACAGTGAAGCAGAGATATTTGGAAATAAATTCTTCCATTTGTGTAGGAGACTGTCTTGGAACTCCTTTCATGATGACAAAGTCCCAGGGAGAATCATGAAAGCCAAAGCAGCCAGAGGAGATAAAAGCAGCATCCCTGAAATGAAAGACTTCCAGCAAAAGCAACACATATCCCAGCCATAATCATTCTTAATAGCTGTACTATCTGGACAGCTTATAGTCATCATGTCAGGCATCTCAAATTCTGTATGTACCATCTCTGGCTCTTTGCTAGGATAAAACATCAAAATACAGACCCAAATGCTGATGAGCACCTTATCAAAAACACACCATCTAAGCTGTGACCTTGCAGGCCCATTCAAGCCTCTCTGGCCATGCTTTTAGGATGCCAAGCACAGATTATCCAAGTAAGGCCTCCCAAATGTTCCAGTGATGTGCTTCACATGCAAATTCAATTATGTGGTATCAATTCCATCATGTGGTAGGGCACAGGTGAAGACTGCTGGCAATAGCACAGAGTATGTGGATATCATCAAAGCCTATCACTAAAAATGATTGCTGTTGCACTGTGCAAAAGCCAACAGGAAAAATCAAACCACAACAAGTGCATTCAGGAAGTTCCACATGAAGCACCTGCAGCCACCAGGGCTCTGTGGCTATCAAACTAATTTAAAAAAAAAAAAAAAAGAATGCATAAACCTATAAATTATAAGTATAAATAATCTCTCAAACTGATGAAAGTTTTAGTCAGAATAGCTGGGAAACTCAAAGCACTTGAAGCAACTGAGGGACTTCAAATGTGTCGACTGAAAATGCCAATCCAGTTTCTTCTTCAGGCTCAAGAAATAATGGGAGTTGAACATCCTTCACTTGAACTCTATGGTTGCTTCATTTAATGTAAAATAAATGCAAAAAACTGATTCCTTTACTTTGAATATTTTGCCAAAGACGTTTCTGAAGAGGATCAGACAGGAAGGAAATGAGACTGCCAGTGCTCTGGAACCAGAACTTGCTGATGCAAGACTCCAGCTTCCAAGCCTCTTGAGAAATGGTTTTTACCAAACCAGATGAATGAAAAACACTGTGCAAATCAACGAATTTACTGGAAGTTTAGATGATCTTTCCTCAACATTTAAGCGAGTAGAATGTTACTCCTCAGAGAGTTCTGAAGACTTGCTTTTCTCTTTTTATAGCTATATGCATAGCTATAAAAACTCCCTTGATACATCATACACAATTCATTTTAAAACATCAACAACAACTCAACACAAGCTCACACAAGAACATTCTAGGCAAGTTTAAAAATCAGTTTAAAAAACAAACAAATAAAAAAAAAAAAA